TTAGTACGAAATTATCGTTGTTTAGTGATAGTAACCAATTACGGTAATCCAAATTCTGCACAAAGAGTTCTTGAAAGCTACGGATCATTGCCAGCTTCTTTCTTCATAATTTTCCGGCATTTTTCTATATTGAACGGCATCCGAAGCTCGATGATGCGAGAGATGCGATGGAATTCCACGGGGGTCGCTCGGTTTCTTGTGAATCGAGCTTGCGCGAATGCCGCGGATTTGCAAAGTAATGACACACAATGAAAACTGTCAATGCTTCGCGAAGCTACTTTCTTCCATTCTTGTTTGGAATGGGGGGGGCGCTCACATACCCCTCGTCATCCGGCAGTTGATTAGGGCGGTCGTCAACGGGCCGCAGCGCGTGCCAGGAACTATTTGCTTTTTCCAGGCTAATTTAGTCATTTTTTTCCAACTTTTCACTGTTTTGGCTACTTTTTCCCAGATTAGCAGCTCCTTATCTTCACAAGGTGGAAAAAATGACTAAATTAGCCTGGAAAAGCAAATAGTTCCTGGCACGCGCTGCGGCCCGTTGACGACCGCCCTAATCAACTGCCCGGATGACGAGGTTACTTCCTCTGCAACACTGTAGACCTTGAGACGACTGGCCTCAGGATGCCATACCCACTGTTTGTAGCGAACATTTTGATTTACGCTTATATTAGCTTTTAAACAACCTTGTGGTCAAAGGGAGCAAGACGCTATGGCTGAGGATTGATTCCCTATCGGGGGTCCCAGATTGTGTCATGTTGGCATGTTGAAGGGACCTGTATAGTCCAATGCTGTGTATTATTTTCGGGATAGTGTAGGTTTTCACCGTCCACCGGACCAGCGAGTTTTTTCTTTAAGGCTGCTGAAATAAATAAGGGAAAGCTGGGTCATACTTAAAAAATAATGAATGGAAGGCTGTGCGGAACATCCAGTGTGCTCATTGGTCTTGGCCGAGGTCCGATTGCGAAACCTAGCTTATTGAGCGGGTGCGCCCGTCTGTCGGACGCCACGCTTACTCGTGCCATTTCACTGGGGGCAATTGTTCTACTTCCGTCCTAATAGACCTGAAAACAGCATCTTTTTTCACTCTGCTTAATGATTCTCATTAATCTGATGGAGTTAACCAACATGACGACCGACGGACGGCATTTTCGCTCGTGAATCCGATACTCATATTAAAAAACTGGGTGATTTCGAGCAATTGGGCTATGCCATGCGCGCTGGATATGGCTATACCAAAATTGATTAGGATGAAAGAGTTACGGAAGAGTTCGCGTCGCCGCTTGGCTATAGATGCTGGAGGAATGTGGGCCAAAACGACCACATCCCTCCAGCGGATGGGTTTCATATTTGGGTTGGTCTGGGTTTAGGTTTGTTGATGAGTTTTGATGAGTTTTCTGTGGTGCCTGTTTGTAGAGCAAGGTAAAGAAATAGGCTTCGGCTTCCAGACGGAAGACAACCTGGCCAGAGGCAGCGGTGGAGAATGGGGTTTATTAAAGAACGTGGTAGTGCCTCCAATGGAACGCTCCCATCAGGGCACGTTGGGGATCCTCAGCAAGGTCTCGTATTTGTCGTATTGGTCGTGCTGCCTGGGAGTACGTATCTGCCGCTGAGAAAAATGTTTTCGGTCCCGACTGTTCTTTGTTTTTCCTGTTTCAAAAATGCATGAACACCTTCCACCCCACCACCTATCGACAGCAATTTTTTTTGGAAGAGGGACGGGAGTGGAGGGTTCTTTGGAAAAACTCCAGAAAAGTGGTAGGGTAGTGGGAAATTTCAAAGTAGGATGGGGTATAAGGAAGGCACTAAACGTGGAACTCTTGACGGGTAGTCGTATTTTGCATGAATTTCTGCCAAAACGGCAGGGTGTGCCCTTACGCTCCCACACACGATCCTTAACCATTTGTCGCAAATCCAAGCTTCATGATGACATCGTAGGCCCGAACTCATCGGTAGATCAGGGAGGTTCGTTTCAGCTCGCAAACAAAATTTAATTAGTGTGAAAGGCGACAGGGAAGAGTTTATGAGTTTCGAACGCTTGCTTTTTCTTTGCAGGCGTCGACATTACAACGTTAGCGCAGCAGTAAAACTGAGAAAGGCGCTGGTTCGAGATGCCGGCCCATTTTGTTGACACGTTCGGCCGCGCTCGTCAGGCCACTTGGGAGTTGGGCAACTGCTCAAAGAACTGTCAAGACCTCGATATGTAACAAGTCCACTTCAACATTCCTTATTTTTTCAAATTTTGCACGATTTTAACGTTGGAAGTGCAAAAAACGAGCTGCAAAAGCGGTCCTCGCATTTTGTGAGAAGAGGTTCACCTCTTGCAATACTGGCAAGAAGTGAATCACTGCCTGGTATACTGATATGATGCCGTGAGGGATTCAGTTTGAACAAAATGGTCAGAAAAAATTTAAAATATACCAAAAAAAGGAACAATACAGGGCCTCACCCATGTACTGGGTAGATCGACTCCTAGGCAATATCTCGATATTTCAAGGGAGTTTTGAGAACCAGGAATTGTTTGCCTGTCCCCCCTGCTTTCCAATTTGCCTCTGTTTCTTGCTTATAAATGTTGCCTGGGAACCCTTTCTGATTTCTGGGCCTCTGAGCCTAATAATCTTTTTGCGTCATCGTGTTCAAATTTCAAGCGCATTTACAGTCGCATTTGCTGCGGATACTAGGGCTTGTCAGGGGGCTAGGTTGGCGAAAGGGAGGGGGGAAGGAAGTCGTATTTGTCGTTTGCTTAGTAAAAATGTAAACTCTGATCTTTTACCCATTTCACATGTACTGTACCACCTTATCCCCCTCTCGCGACGGCAGTTTTTTGAGGAAAAAGTAATAGGAAGTGGGGGGGGGGGGGGGTTGGGTGGGATTCCAGAAATGGTATACAGGATGCCGGCGGTCTGGGAGGAAGGGTCGTACGTCTCACCGCAGGAGTTTTGCAGGAGGTCGTAACCTTTATTTGGGGAAGAGATACGGAGGCGTCGCAGGTGGGACTCCTGGTCCCAACACGCTGGCCCTGTAATACTAGTTTTGCATAGGAAATCCTAAATGCTCACACTTAATGTGATTACCACCAAAATTTCTACAGCGCCCCTTTATACCTGCACCATACCGCCACAGTGTACCCCAATAGCGCCCTAGTAGCGAGCAAATCCTTCACTCTGCCAGGCCCCGAAACAAGGACCCCTTTGAATCGCCCATATCGAAACGTGCCCAGTTGAGCGCCGCCCCCAAGATGAGTCACCGACCGCCTTTCTCTCTGCAATTATTTGAATTGGATATTCGCGCCACAACGTACGGGCTGCGTAGCTGCCCCTCCGACTCGTCCCTCCTCAACGCATTGCGGGTGTGTCGCAGTACGGCACGGACTGGCGGCGAAACTGGCCGTCGACGGCCGATTGCACCGCTTCGGGTCCGTTCGTAAACGCGTGCGGTGCTCTTGAAAGTCCTTTTCCTCTTATTTTAGCATTCCTTGCATACTCTCAATGATTTCATTCAGAAACTACTCCTTTGCTTGGGTTTATTGGTTCTTTGGCATCTTTCGAGTATTAACGCAATTCTCAGTGACTCACCGCGTGTCCAATGCTGCTTCTCGCGAGAATCCTTATCAGGCTCATATCCTCCTTTTCAGGTCTCATTCTCTAAACTTTACCAGTCGAGAATGGTGAGTGGTTGATGACGTTTGCTCCGTACTGTGCTCGTAGTGGGTAAACTGTTTCTCCAAATTGTTCAGTAAAACTGGTTTTAGCGTGAAGTGATCTCCATCCACGTTGGACAAGCCGGTGTACAGATCGGTAACGCATGTTGGGAACTGTATTGCCTGGAACATGGAATACAGCCCGATGGCATTATGCCTTCAAAGAACGAGAACGAATCGTTTACCACATTCTTCTCTGAAACAGGAAACAGTCGATTCGTACCACGAGCAATTATGGTTGATTTGGAGCCCACAGTTGTTGGTGAGTCGAACTGTTTAGTAGTAATGTTTTGTCCATCTATCTGCGAAGTGCTGCGAGCTTTGCATGACATTAGCGGAGAAAACAAAGCGACCCATTTTTAACTGGCCCTCCGGAGTTTCGGGACGGGTAGGACGTTTACATAGAACCAACTTGACCTGGAATGCTCGCTATACTAGCAAACTGGTATATGCCTACAACTGTGGATTTGGATTCAAGCACGTAATAGTGATCAGCTGAGAAACTAGCATTTATTTTCTTGAGTGAGACCGCTGAAGGAAGCAAGCCGAAGTAAGCGCCCTTGCGGGGAGTAACTTTGTGCTGTCGTCAGAGTAGAGTGGGAATGGCGGTTTTTGATAGAGAATCTGTTGATCGTTATCACCAGAGCATTACAGAAAACTGCGGTTATGGGAGCGTTTAGTACCGTTCTTTGATTACCGGATCAATACTATACCATTCTCTCAGCGACGCCGTCGAATCCAACTTTACGAATTACTGATTGTATGAATGAACTGGTTGTACGAAGACAATCTGGCTTTTCCTCCCTTTGAGCATCTGTTAGATTGTCGTGTTTTGCCAATAAAGCTTTTGTCGGAGCCTCTCCAGTTAGATGGGACATTTAGAGAAACCCACTAGCGCAAAGGGCTTGGTCCCAGTGAGCTTCCTTCAGACTAAAAAGCTGGCACCGTGGTAGATCAGCGGTTTTGCACGATGTTGTAACCGCTCAAGTGCCTAGTACCAGTCATCTTGATAGCGCCATTATGACCCAAGCCTGCTGTGATGATGCCTGGTGGTCATTAAGTAAATACGTGTAGAGTACATCGGCTAACCCGAAAAAAAACTGGTGAGAGAATGTGTGGTAATAGTGTCTGAGCTTGTAGCATGTTCTCCCTTCTCTGCGACGCCTATTGTTTGCTTTAGCACGCTTGCGACGCACAGTATTGGGCAGCGTTTAAAAACGCATAAATCGACTTTCAGATGAAATCCGAACTGGTACGTACAAGCAACTTTTCCACCCGGAACAAATGATTACTGGTAAAGAAGATGCCGCCAATAACTATGCCCGAGGACACTACACTGTTGGAAAGGTAGGTGTGTGTGTGTGTGTGTGTGTGTGTGTGTGTGTGTGTGTGTGTGTGTGTGTGTGTGTGTGTGTGTGTGTGTGTGTGTGTGTGTGTGTGTGTGTGTGTGTGTGTGTGTGTGTGTGTGCTTTTTTGGTTGCTGTCGGCTGCTCGTCCAATTTTGAAATGATTGCAGGAGATGCATCGACCTCGTGCTTGACAGGACTCGTCGTCTTGCTGACAACTGCTCTGGTTTGCAAGGCTTTTTGATCTTCCATTCTTTCGGAGGAGGAACTGGTTCTGGATTTACCTCATTGTTAATGGAACGTCTTTCTGTGGATTACGCAGAAGAGCAAACTTCGAATTCTCAATCTATCCCGCACCACAGGTAGGTTGTGGAGATTGCAGGCTTGACTGAACAATTCCCAAATTGATTGAACGTTTTTTGTAGGTTTCTACTGCCTGTTGTTGAGCCGTACAATTCCATTCTCACCACCCATACCACACTTGAACATTCCGACTGTGCCTTCATGGTTGATAACGAGGCTATCTACGATATCTGCCGCCGAAACCTTGACGTTGAGAGGCCAAGTTATACAAATCTCAACAGAATAATTTCTCAAGTGAGTTCAGTAGCGAGAAAAAGTCGTTGCGGGGGTTTCATCAAACGTGAAAATGTGTCCTTACAGGTTGTATCGTCTATCACCGCGTCTCTCCGATTCGAGGGCGCCCTTAATGTTGATCTCACCGAGTTCCAGACGAATCTCGTACCATATCCTCGAATTCACTTCCCATTGGCAACTTATTCGCCTCTGATTTCTGCCGAGAAGGTTTGTGATGCTGCGCAAGGCGCGCCTGCTGTAGTGCCTATTGACTTCGGCTATTTCAGGCATACCATGAGGCCTTGTCAGTGAGCGACATCACAAACATGTGTTTCGAGCCTTGCAATCAGATGGTAAAGTGCGATCCACGAAACGGAAAGTACATGGCTGTGTGCCTGTTGTACCGCGGAGATGTTGTACCAAAAGATGTCAACCAGTCCATTTCTGCCATCAAGGCTAAACGTAGCATCCAATTCGTCGATTGGTGTCCCACAGGTTTCAAGGTGGGTTCCATTAGAACTTGCGATCGCACTATTGATCTTTAGCTATTGCTCTTTATTTAAGGTTGGCATCAACTACCAGCAGCCCCAACTGTCGTTCCTGGTGGTGACATCGCTAAAGTGCCCCGAGCTGTTTGCATGCTGTCGAACACGACCGCAATCGCCGAAGCATGGGCTCGTTTAGATCACAAGTTCGACCTTATGTACGCTAAGCGCGCATTTGTCCACTGGTGAGTGCTCTCCTTCTTCCCCTCCCAGAAGTGACTGACTCTACGACAAAAAACCAAAATGCGACTTTTGCAGGTACGTCGGAGAAGGTATGGAGGAGGGTGAGTTCAGTGAGGCACGTGAAGATCTTGCCGCCCTTGAGAAGGATTACGAAGAGGTATGTAATCTTTCCATTGAAACTTAGGTTCAGTAGAACAGCCATGAGGGTAATTCTCTGTTTTCAGGTTGGATCTGACTCGAACGAGGAAGGATATGAAGAAGGAGAAGAATATTGAGTGCGTGGCACTGAGCACAGTCCCCCTCTTGTTGTAATAAAAGTACTTGTGCTATCTGTTTTGTAAATAAATCGATCGTTCGATTACGAGATATTTGGCGAGGACGGTTTTTAGAAGCGGATCATTCCAAAACGTCTTCTGTGTCTAGGTCAGTAAACATGTCCGCTGGCGCGAATTCGATTGTCACGATCCCGTTGAGGAACCAAGAAGACGGTAATGATTTTGAGGGATTCTATCAACTAGACCTGAGCATTGTTGGTCATCGAAATGGATTTGGAGTCTTGCTCGTAATCAGGGCAGACCTGACTTATTTTGGTCCCTCCAGAATCGCTGAAATGGTACCGTACTCCAGACGGGTAAGCCCTTGTGTTGCGACTGATTGGCCATTAGAGGGCCGTCGTAAGGCCGCGTTCATAGCTTGCGTTCGTGAAGAAATGCAGAAGTGCGGAATCTGCAGAAAAGCAATAGATACGTATCGACTTGAAGAAATGCAGAAATGCCGAAACTGCAGACGTGCGGAAAGTGCAGAAATGACGAAAAGCATTACATACGTATCGATTTGAAGAAATGCAGAAATGCCGAAAGTGAAGAAGTGCGGAATCTGCAGAAATGCCGAAAGTGTGGAAAATCGATACGTATCGGTTGCTTTTCTGCACATTCCGCACTTTTCATTTCTGCAGATTCCGCATTTCTTCACTTTCGGCATTTCTGCATTTCTTCAAGTCGATAGTATCTATTGCTTTTCTGCAGATTCCGCACTTCTGCACTTTCCGCACTTCTGCACTTTCCGCACTTCTGCATTTTCCGCATTTCTGCATTTCCTCACGAACGCAAGCCATGGAACGCGCTTTCTAAGAAGGCTGAACTATTAGGGTTGTCGCGAAAGTTCTCAGGGCGGTTTTAAATGTTTCACTTAAACGGCATAACTTTCTTCGCTAGCATTGGATTTAATCGAAACGAGCACCGTTAGAATCTGCACACTTGCCAATGTGACACCAGTTGAAAAATCGCTTGAAAGAAAAAAAACTGGGTGGTCGAAAATTTACGAAATCCACGAAGGCTTTTTTGCCTGGTCCTGATTGGTGAAGTATTTTCCAGCAAGGATGATCTGAAATGCTTGGAAAGGAGATAGTTGATTGGTGTAAGGTTTGAAGAATATGGCGGATGAGGATAGAACTTCAATCCCCCAATTCGTTCAATTTATGGATAGTGATTTGTGAAACGTGTGGGCGGGCGTTGTCATGCAAAGAATCGGCCCTTTCTGTTGACAAGTGCTGGCTGCAGCTGACGCAATTCGGTACATTTCGTCAATTTCTTCACAGTAGGACTCTGCTGTGATGGTTTGGCCTGGTGACAAAAAGTCATACATGATCCACTTTTCATCACAGGTGACACTTCGGTCCAAAAACGGGTCGTTTCTGTTGCGCAAGAACAATGAAGAAGAAACTCGAGACCGGACCTGCCAATTTCTGTTGCACGGTCACTGAAGTTGTGGGGCAACCCACTTGCCGAGTTTTTTTTCACCTTATCAATGCGTTTCAGACCATCCGCAACAGTGGATTTGCCAACGCCTAGCCTTTCTGCAATCTCTCGAACTGTTTGGGATGGGTCAGCCTCCAAAAACCCCTTCAAATCCTCGTCAGATATTGCTTTAGGTCGACCGCTATGAGGTTCATCTTCAAGGCTGAAATCTCCAGAACGAAATTTGTCGAACCATTGTCGCACGGTGCTTTCTTCAACACTATTGGGCCCCCACACCTGGTTAATTTTTCCAGCTGTCTCGATTGCGGATTGACCCAATTTTAGTTGAAGAAAAATATCGTCCAAAGTTGCTCTTTTGACATGCTTCAAAAAGTCTTGGGAAAAGGGGGTTTATCAAGCAATGGTGAAACGGCAATTATACCATCAGATAGCGCGAAAAATCTCTCAGGATGTACTACTGAGACGCAAGGGAGAATGAGTTTTCAATCAGCAATGAATGTACAAAAAAAAAAATAACGTAACACAAAAGGCTGAGAGCTTTCCGGGCGACCTAATAGATTCTCTAAGAATTCTAAGGAGTTAATACGTGGGGCACTCCGGATCGCTTGCTGAGCTGCTCATCATTGGCACTCAGGATACAGTATCGTTATATCACGTGAGGGGTCCTTACTTTGCCGTGGGGGAAGGAGGTCGTGGTGGCTTTTTGAGAGAAATTTGGCCGGCGTCGGGGCATAAGTTTTCCCGGTGTGTTAACTGTTTCGCGGTTGTTCTTCCCGTTTTCAATGGTGTAAGTCTCAGCCCCCCCCCCCCCGCGCGACGGCCGACGAAAAATTTTTGGGTGAAAAACTGGAAATTGTGGAAACTTCTGGAAAAATTGGTAGGAAGCTGGGAACATTTAAGAATGTAGTAGGTAGGTGTTGGGGAGATGGGGGGGGGGGGGTGGTAGTGACAAACACCATTGTATCAACGTATGCGAAAAACCTGTTGGTAGACAATGAAGAACGCAGAGCATACATGGGTGAGGGGAACGTGCTGCACATCTTCTCTGAAAATATTTGATGTTGCTTAACAGTGCCAGAAGAGGAAGTGAGGAAGCATTCATAGTTTGAGAGCCTGGGATTTTGCAAGTGGAGTTAGCATGCTTTGTCGTCATATTGGTGATCGGGGCGCCATGAACGGCTCTACAAAAACCTCGGCTCTGTTCAGTTGTTTCAGATGCTTCAGCTCTACAGGAGGTTGTTAATTCGAATTAACTGACTTACGTATCGATATGAAATGGAAGGCGGCAGAGAGCGACCTTCGTAGGTGGAGCCTGACCTCCGCAACAAACATTTGGCAGCTTTATTTCACGCTGCAAAAGTGATACATCGTCTGCGATTGTGGACCGAGCTACTTGGAGGGGTCCCACAAGGTTACAGGGCTTATGTCAACCAGATGTCTTCTTTCTACGATTGCTCAGAGGCATTTTCTGACAGCATCTTCCGTCCGACCATTCGAGGAGAAGAAATAAGGAAGAGGAAAGTGAGAAGGAAGGAAGGAAAAGAAGAGGAAAAAAGGAAAGGAGGAGGGAAGCTACCCGGTCACACATCAGATGCCTCTGCCTTTGGATATTTTTTTCCACTCGCATAGATTTCAACATGAATACGGTACATGTATTGTACTCTTCAGAAGAGCGATCGCAAAGCGTCGCCATATCGTACCAGGAGAAATGACATTTGCAGAAGCCATTCGGAGATTCAACCAACTGACGTGAATCATCTATTAAATGGCGGCACGTCTACGTGCTAGCTGTAATCTTCTCAAAGAACCTCCATAACTTCGAATATCCACCAAACTGGCCATAGCCTACTTAGCTGTTTATGAGATATTCAATTGCCAAGGCTAAACGTTTTACACCAGGGTCATTTTTGCAGACAACGCCGTTATCTGTCATCGAAACGAACGCTCGCGAGAATCTTTAGCCTTCGCATTTTTTTCTGCAAAAAAATCTGTACGGCATTTTTCATTGGCATATACGCAAGATTTTATCTGAGATGTTGTACTTTCTCTTCCTACCGTTATTCGACGCAACGATGGCATCACCTACATGGCTGCAAAAAGGTTGGAGCGGTTGAGAAAATAAAAAAGCTGAATGAAATTATCAAAATATTGGCCCGATTTACCCGTTACAGACCACTTATCGGAAACTTCCTCAAAACTTGCCTATGGGGCGGATTTAGCCAAAAATCTGCACCAGCCAGGTGTTCCCACACTGAAAGAATGCGATATTCGGCAGCTAAATTCACCCCCTAAGACCGATGGACGTCTGGCCTGACCAATGACTGTAGGATGGTGGAGTAAAAGGTAAATGGTGCCCAACAATTTACCTGCAACCTATAGAAGCCTTGTTGCCTTGCCAGCTCACAGGATACTCCCCCTCCACCCCGCTCCCCCCAACTATTCTGATAACTGCGCACCAGTAGTGGCAACACCACAAACACCTTTTCAATATCAGCTACGGCTGTTACAAACGCAGTCGTTTTCGCTGCAGACACTGGGGCGTGTCAGCGGCGGAGCTTGGCGCGGTGATAAATGACGTGGTAACTTTCAAGCAAAATAATCACTCTCCATTTTCTCCACGCCCCGCTATATAAGTGAAGGCTATTCGAAGGCATATGCCACGCTGGTCGGATGGGCGGAGCCGGGCATCCCAATGCAATTTTCCATTGGTGCACCCTCCTTTCAGTGATGGTAATAGTGAAACTACGTAGCTGTGCGCAAGCCATCAAGAGGCACATTCTACGCTCCACGTCTGGGCAGAGTCAGCAATGCCACTCAGAGGAATCCCTTCCTGCCTTTTGAGGAGAAATTTGCAATCTCCTCATATGGTACGGACCCTCCGCTCCCCTCCTATCTACCATCTTCCTGATTTCCAGCGACTTTTCCGGAGTCTTTCCCCACAAAATTCCACACAGAGGCACATGCGATCCCCCTCCTTTCTAAGATGGTAAGGAGGAAACTACGTGTACGCATGCTATCTAAGGGCTAATTCTACCTCCTCGTCGGCGCGGGTCAGCCCTGTAACTGCATCTCCGTCACTGGTGCGCTCCGCCTTTCCAAAAAAATATCGAAGTAGAAAGGTGTATCAATGGGAAGAGGACAATGTCAGACTGGGAAGTACAACCAGGGGGATGTGCCTTTAACCCCCTGCAGTAAGGAAGGCGTTGCTGAGAAAAGGTAGCTGAGAATGCCACAGGTAATTATAAAGATTCTGTAATGGATCACCTCTCGAAACAGTACTGCCCTTCAGTTAGTAGTAGAAATTTTACCGGATGACCACTTCCAGTAAACTCGCGAACGAAAACTGGTCTAGTCGAAGTTATGTAGGCTAGCGATGGGCATTGAAATGGACAGCGGTGCGGCGATTCACAACCAGCAATCAATCCTTACACAACCTTTCGATCGGATAGCGCTTCCCAACCTTGAAGCCGATCGCTACTGTTGTGGTAGGATGATTTATCAAGTAGGAGAACTTTCGC